CATAGGTTCGATCAAATTTTTGTGCCAAACACATGAAATGGGGGAACTTTAGCAACATCAATCAAAACCAGCAAGTGAGAAACAAGAACCCAGCTGTGCACACCACTGCCATCATACCATCTTCTTCATATGAAGCCTCAGAGGACAACAATTGGTATCCTGAATCAGATGCAAGCAGCTATGTCACCTATGACCTATCAAATCTGAATTTGGCTTCAGAGTACCAAGGGACAGAAAAGGTGCAGATTGGAAATGGTAAGAACCTTAACATTTCTCGTATTAGAACTTCTATATTGAGCTCTAATGAACCACAATCACCCCCTTGTTCTTAAAATTTTGCTTGTTGTCCCTGAAATAACCAAAAACCTCATGAGTGTTTCACAATTTTCTCTTGATAACAAAGTTTATTTTGAGTTTCACTCGGATCATTGTCTTGTGAAGGATCAAATTTAAGGACTGACTATACTAAGAGGGAGAGTTGCGGATGGACTATACACTTTCAGCTTGTCCAACTTCAATGGTGACTTCAGTTCCTTTAAGTATATTTCTCAGCCTGTTTCTATCAACCATATCAAGAAAACCAATGAAGATCTGGCCATATGGCACTCTAGACTAGGTCGTGCTTTCTTTGACACTGTTAAGAGGGCCCTATCTAGATGTAATATTCAGTTTGATCTTGATGATAATAAAAGAAATCATGGGTTTTGTTTGCAATAAAAATTCATACACTTCATTTTCTTGTTTCCACCACTGATCACTATGATATTCCTAATTTAATGCACACAGACTTGTGGGGATATGCTCCCATTAAATACTACAATGGTTATCAGTATAATGTTAATTTCATATACCACAAAACCAGATATTCTTGGTTGTATATTCTCAAGTCCAAATCAGATACATTCAATGCATTCATCCACTTCAAAAACCTTGTTGAGAACCAATGTAACAGAAAAATCAAAATAGTTCAAAGTGATGGAGGAACTGAATTGAAGGCCCTTTCTGACTTTTTCCTAAAAAATGGCATATTGCACAGAATATCATGCCCCTACACACTTCAACAAATGGTCTAGCTGAAAGAAATCATAGACACATTGTTGAGATGAGTTTATGCCTTCTTTCCCAATCTCATCTTAACCACAAACACTCGGATGATGCTTTCTTCACATCCACTTACATAATAAACCGTTTACCTTCAAAAGTTCTTGATCACAAGTCACCATTGGAGCTGCTGACAGGCCACAAGCCAGACTATTCTCACCTCAAGGTATTTGGCAATCTTTGTTTCCCTTACTTAAGACCCTACAACAAACATAAACTAGAACCCATTACTCAGCCTTCCACCTTTTCTTAGATATAGCCAATAGTACAAGGGTACAAAGCCATATTGCACAATTGGAAAATCACAGTCACTAGACACATTCAGTTTGATGAAAGCTCATTTCCATATCAATTAAAGCTTGAGAATAAATAAATCAGAAAAGAACCTAACATCCAGTTACCACCTCAAACACCCATAAAATTCTTGTTAATTTCAAGCAACCTCAACCAAACACACAAGCAACCATAAGTGATACACCAATTCAACCTTATACTCACAGATCACCTACCACTTCACCTCAGCATACAACCATTCTTATAGGTGAGCTCTTTATAGATTTGCCAATTGAAGAAAATGAAGAGTTTCTAACTAGAACTATTTCTGCTAGTACCTCTCATAATTCAATACATGGCAATGCACACCCCATGGTGACAAGATCTAAGAATGGAGTTCATAAACCAAACATATATCTTCAGGAGATTAACAAGAAAGAGATGAGGGATCAGACATAGCCAAGAAACATAGATGAAGCTCTTGAATCCAAGGATTGTAAAGAAGCCATGAACAAGGAATTTCAAGCTCTCTTCAAAAACAACACCTGGACTTTTTTACAACCCCCAAACACAAAGATGTTATAGGAAACAAGTGGGTTTTCAAGTTAAAGAGAAATGTTGATAGAACTATTGCAAGATATAAAGCTAGGTTGGTTGCAAAAGGGTTCACTCAACAACCAGGAGTTGACTACACAGATACTTACAGCACAGTCATCAAACCAGTTACTATAAGATTAGTTATGGCCATTGCTTTATCTAAGTCTTGGAAAATTAAGAAAGTTGACATTGGCAATGCCTTCTTATATGTGGATCTATAAAATGACCTTTACATGGAACAACCAGTTGGTTTTGAGCAATTTGATTCAGAAAAAAAAGCCACTTGTGTGTAAATTGAAGAAGTGCATTTATGGACTTAAGCAAGCCTCAAGGGCCTGGTCCTCCAAATAATATCAAGTCCTTTTTTCACTTGGCTTCAAGATGTCCAAGGTTGATTCTTCTTTATTCTATAAGCATGAAGAAAACAGTTCTACTCTCATTCTTACTTATGTTGATGATTTAATAATCACATGAGATGATGAGATATACACTCAACAGATCATCAATACTCTCTCACAAAATTTTTTATTTGACGGACTTAGGTGATCTGAATTATTTCCTTGGATTAGAAGTGATCAAGAATGAAAATGGACTCCTTCTTTCTAAAAAAAGGTACATTGAGGACATCATTTTCAAATCCAAAATGGAAGGTAGCAAATCCCCACCTATGGTCAACTCCCTTTTTACCAAATCAGATGGCCAACCCATAGTGGATGCATATTCTTACAGAAGCTTGTTTGGAGCCTTAATCATGGTGAATTTTTGTCATGAGCACTTGTCTAACCTACCACTGGGGTCACTCAAACAAGCGACCATCTAGCCCGAAGGCCTTAATGATCATGATTGATTTTGTCTTCGACGACCCAACTCTAAGATAGACCACCTTGCTCGAAAACTTTAGTCATGGTGGATTTTTTCCCTTGAAAGCTTGCACAACTCACCATTGGGGTCATTCAAACAAACGACCATCCAGCCCGGAGGCCTTATTCATGATGGATTTTTCCATTGACAATACAACTCTAGGATCGACCACTCAGCCTGAAGGCCTTAATCATGATGGATTTTTGCCTTTAACACTTGCACAACCCACCATTGGGGTCGTTTAAACAAGGAACCATCCAGCCTGAAGACCTTAATCATAATGAATTTTTGTTCTTCGATCTCGCACTTGGGTCGACCACCCATCCCAGAAACCTTAGTCATGGTGGATTTTAAAAAACCAAATGATGATTTGCCACTGAGGTCAAACGCAAACACACCGAACATAAATATACAGTGTAACATTGCATATCTTCATTAACTTCTTTATATATAGATCAATTACATCGAATACGAAAGAAACTGTTTTAAACACAATATTTCTTCAAATTCATAAAGAATAAGTACTTTCATATATGACATGTGCAAAGGTCTCCCTTCAATGTCCTTCAAGGAATAAGTACCTCTTATGTGTACCTTCTCGGCCACGTATGGACCTTTCCAGTTAGGCTCGAGGCAGCCCACAGGCTTCAGCATGTCGACCCTCCGCGGGCTAGCCCACCTAGCCCCCCTCCCCCCCTCTTGGCCTACTGCTCACGCGGGCTGGCCCGTTTAGGCCCGCACCCCCTGTAGGCCTAGAAAATCACGGTTCAACCCGCCTCTTTGGCGATGTCGAGCCCGTTTTGACAACTCTATGTGTAAAGCTTTGGAAGAAGGAATAAGAAAATTACTATTTAACATATATCCAGCGAGGTCAAATATGTAAATGCATGGTTTATCTTCACAATTGTCCAACCTAACAAATGCATTAAACAAAGTATCTAGAATATTTTATCTTAAGTCAATCTTACTTAACAAACTAGATTATAATTGTATTTCTACAATACAATCTTGCTTAATATCTAACAATGCAATCTTGGTTATTGAGATAAATAAATAAATAATAAATAAATCTTGTCTTGTCTCTCTTAGCAAACACGCTCTTACAAATTCAATTCACACTAGTATTAATATTCATGTACAACATGAGTGTTGAGCTAATGAATATATGTTTAAAGTTATTAATGTCTAATACTAAACCTAACTCCAGAGAAAAAATAATATAAAAACAACATCACGAAGCATAGATTTTTGTCATGTCAGCATCCGAAGCGTGAGAATATGTCACCTAGGCTCAACACGTTTTAAATTAATATATGGAGAGGGATTTATGATAGGTAATATGGTACCAATCTTTTATAAACCCAACAAAGTTGTATAGTTGATAATTGAGAATTATTCAGAGCATCTCTAATGCTATGACCTTGAAAGACAATGATTTTTAACACATGTCAATTAATGAATGTAATGTTAATCCACATAAGATACAAGTTAAAAGATTATAAATTTGAATCAAACAAGTATCTCCAATGTATGAATTTGATAAGAAGTTACTTGTATATGTGGACCAAATTAAATAATCCATTGATACAAGAATAATAAAAAATTAAACAAAAAATAAACTAAATTGACGAGTCATCATGTTTGAAATAATGTTAGATATTAGAAAATGAGATCAACCTTTTTTACATTAAATGTTATCTACATCATGATGAAATAGTTCATGACAATATGCATTAAAGAATAAAATTAGTAAGACATTTTTAAAAAGTTGATGATATAAATATTTTTTTATTATGTCAAAAGTCACGTTCAAGATGCTCTCCCTCCATATAATTAAATCAACCAAAAGGAGTCTAAATGAATATTATATATTTTTTATTTTATTGTAATGTCTCATAAATATCCAATCACTACTAGCTGTTAGCCACCTAACATTATTATTATTATTATTATTATTATTATTATTATTATTATTATTATTATTTTAACACAAGACATTCCAACAACATTTTTTATTTTGCATATACACAAAAGAGACCTAATTTGGACTCCCAGTGGACTGAATCTGTTTCTTCCCCTCTCAATTTCCTAGTTAATAGATACAATCTACCGTTGGAAGAGAGAAAACGTGGTCAGATTCTCTGCTCTGTTTGTGAGTGAAGTGCAAAATGGCCAGCAGTGGAGGATATGGCGACGCGAAAATCGACTACGTGTTTAAGGTGGTGCTGATCGGAGACTCCGCCGTCGGCAAGTCCCAAATACTGTCTCGTTTCTCCCGCGATGAGTTCAGCCTCGACTCCAAAGCCACCATCGGCGTCGAGTTCCAGACGCGCACCATGGTCATACAGCAGAAGTCCGTCAAAGCTCAGATCTGGGACACCGCCGGACAAGAAAGGTACGGATGTAGCTTATGTGTGATTGATTTCTGCGTTGGAAGGGAAAAACAGAGAGAGATGATCTCTGCGCGTGATTGATTTTTGCTCGTAGATATGAAACTTGAAATTTGACTGTTGCTGTTGTGATTTTGTATTGCGCTTAAACACTTGTGATGAGATTTTTAGGGGGTGATTGTTTATGAATTCATCTAGAAATTAATTGGATTTAAATTATTTTTTTCTAGTTGTTTAGCGGGTGTCCATTGTAAATGGAGCTCGACCAGTCATTGTTGACAATTCTCCTGGCATAGTGCTAATAATGGACTAGATCAAAATGGCTCAATTAAATTCTAGTGCTTCTTCTATAGTGAAGTTTCTAAAAAAATATATATATATATATATCAAACGACGCAATGCACCTTGGGTCGCTATTGAAACAACCTCCTTGTATAATTACAAGGGTAAGGTACGATCCCCCAGACCCCAACCAGTTAGGAATATACTGGGTATGTTGTTGGGTATGTTGTTGTTGTTGTTGTTGTTGTTGTTGTTGTTGTTGTTGTTATTTAGCTGGTGTAGAATTGGATTTCTTGTTGAACTGAAATATGATGTTATAGGAATGCTGGGGTGTGGAAATGCCGTTAGTGTTGGAATTGGGGATGAAGTTTATCTTTATGGATAATTCTACTTTTACATAACATATATGTGGGGTAAACCCGAACTCGAAGAACTGGGAAGATCGAATCATCGCGTAATTGTGCTATTCAACTTTAATAAAGAAAATGGTTTGTGTTGTTGAATTATCACCATTGAGTAGTTAGTGATGCTATGTACAGGGTTCATCGTTTCAAATGAGTTGTTCTAATTCGAATAATATCTATTTGGTTATGCATATCGAAAGCAATTTCTATGTTGATTAAAAAATGATTCTAATTTAAATAATAACATAATTAGCTAATATTACGATCGAAACGTGATGCACATATAGATTGCACAAATGTGAAGCCGGTACTCTTAGCTATAATAACATTTTATCTCTTTTTAGTCTTATGATATTCTGGATCAGCTAAGATCTGCTTCAGAGCCTGAAATTCAAATTGATCGAAATTTGAATTGTTAACCTAATCTCAAAAATTGAACGTAAATGTGTGGATTTGCTAATTCATTTCGAGTAGGAGCCATTATTATATTCTGTTGAAACACATTTATCCATTACACTTAATCTGAATGCACCAAATATGTATGAAAAGGCATTAAGCCGTTAAAATGTTATCAAGCATGAGAAAGTTCACTTTGTAGTTTCATCCTAAAGTCCGATTCATAATAGGTCCAGTTACCCAACAGGTTTAGCTTTTTCGGTAGACAATAATTTTGTGATTATATTTCAGAAAAAGAAAAAATTGACGAAAGTTCTCTTTCGGTACAGATATAGGGCCGTCACAAGCGCTTACTACAGAGGAGCCGTTGGGGCCATGTTAGTTTACGACATCACCAAACGCCAGACCTTTGACAACATCCTCCGCTGGCTGGAAGAGTTGCGTTCCCACGCGGATAAGAACATTGTAATTATCCTAATCGGGAACAAATGTGATCTTGAGGACCAGAGAGCAGTCCCCACTGAGGACGCCAAGGAATTCGCCCAAAATGAAGGGCTCTTCTTCCTAGAAACCTCAGCTCTCGAAGCAACAAACGTGGAGGAGGCATTCTTGACCGTTTTGACCGAGATTTTCAACATTGTGAACAAGAAGAACCTTGCAGCTGGTGAGGATCGAGGGAATGGTGATACCGTGCCTTTGTCGGGCAAGAAGATAGTTGTTCCTGGGCCGGGCCAGGTGATCCCAGAAAAGAAAGGGGTGTGTTGTGGGTCGTGATTTGTTGAGGTTACTTCTTTTGGGTTGTGTGATTTTTAATATTCAGTTGTAGGTTTACCAACTCCAGTTAGTAGTAAGATTTTGAAGAAGAATCTGGTTTGTTTGATTTTTTTTTTATTTTTTATTTTTTTTTTATGTGGAGGGAAAAGAAACTAAGTGAATAGTTCAAATTTGTGTCTGGTCAATTTATCTATTACCCTTTTGCTTGTTTATCTTTAGTATATTCTGATGTCATTCATACTTCATTCTGTGAGTATTTTGTTAGGTTAGTCTAACTATTTTAGTTTTTTACCGACATACTGTTGACTGTTGTTATAATATGCGTACTTCTATTAAAAAACGTCATACATTAAAAACTAATACACTTTTATATGGCGTTTGATTGTATAAGTATGTGTTTTCTTTTTCCTCACAAATTATAATGGGTCGATCCGTATAATGGGTCGATCCGTCTAACAATTAGGTTGCCTCAAATTAATACTTTTTTTTACTTGATGTACACCTTTGTTGCTATTTTTTTCTATGATTATGCCATGGCCCTTAAATTTTATGAACCTACCACAGAATGTGATTGCCAGGAAAACAGTATTTTTTCTGTAGCTCTGCAGTTGCAAGCATAGCAAACACACATCTTCATGCTAGAATCAAGTTTAGGAATGCACATGCTACTTCATATAGTAGCATTTTCGAAGTTCTTTTGTTCAAATCCTCGTTGGTTCTTTACAGCTTACAGCCTAACATGATAACATTCGCCGAAGCAGAATTTTATCTAAAACAAAATCTGATGTACATACAATTTTATTAGATAAACCACGAAATGTGTCGATTTTGCATATGTTACAGAACTATAGGATTTAATGAGTTCAATTCAATACAATTAATTATCAAGAGAAACTGCAGAAAACTTTTGAGGTGGCGACTGAATATAAATTAGATGGGTTTCAATTCACTAGGAGGTTGACAATTTAGCATTTCCCGTATATTTATTGGTTAAAGTGAGTTAATTGTGAATAAAACTGATTCGGAGCTAAAATTACTGCACAGATCCAAATAGCAGCACAGGCTAAAATCCAGCACAAATTCAGGCAATAACAACTTAAACAAAACAAACATCCCAAAATCTTTTTCTAAGAAACAAAAGCAGTCTGCGCAGTCGATTAACATAACAGTTCAAGAACTTGTCCTTACCCATAAACCAGCAAAAAACCAACCAGACCCCAAGGGCTGGGCCCAGCAACTGTCATACACAAATCCACAAGTGGGCATCTCAAAAAGGGCAAAATTTAAGCAGCAGCAACCGACGGCTTAGATGCTGCAGAGAGCTTTGATCTCCTCTTGGCCAAGCTCTCACTTCGCCTTTCCCTTTGTTCCTTCAAACGAGTAGCAAGAAGCTTCTGATACTCGGCAGCTTCAGACTTTGCCTTGGCTATCCTCTTCTTCTTGTCAGCAATTCTAGCTCTCTTCCTCTGCAGAGTCAGTGGGGTCACCAACCTCTGAATCTTTGGGGCTTTGCTCACTTTCTTGCCTGCCATGAAAAATAAACAGGTAACCATTATCAAACCAACTCATAAATGCAAGGTATGATGATAAGAATAAATAATCAGTATAAAACCAACCCCAAAAGCTTAGTCCGATTGAGGGAGAAAAAAAGATAAAATAAGTGAGAGATCGGCGCCTTGTGAGATTATTAAAAAGATCTAATAAACTTTCACATACAAGAAGGTCTCTCGGAGCTCATAAGCTGTTATGCTTGATTTGAATAAAGTACCCAAGTTTCGGTCACCAAAGATATGTTCGGGCTGATACATAAGTTTTGATTGATATAATGCTACGAATATGTTGGGTAACACTGTAAGTGTTATTTCTGAAAGCTTCTAAGCAATTATAGTGTATATTTTTTGCATCCATCTTATAAGGTTCTTCAAAAACGATACACAAAACGAAGTTAAAATCTCTTAACCATCATCATTTAAGATGTTTTTGAAGAACCTATAGGTTTAACCAAACATCATCCTAAATGTAACTAGGTCAAATATTGGTAACAGTTTTCGAAACCCTCCCAGAACTAATATGCAATTAACTATAAAGAGCTTTATTATTACCAGATTTGGTGGTGAATGTCCTCCGGTAAGTGTTGACATACTTGCGAACATCATCCTCCTTGGAAAGGTTGAAGAGCTTTCGGATCTTAGAAGCCCTCTTGGGACCTCTCATCCTCGGCTTCTCAGTATCAGTCAACCCAGGGAGATCATTCTCACCCTTCTTCACAATCACCAAGTTCAGAACCGAGAGGTCAGGGCTCACGATACACCCACGAACAGACTTCCTTCTACGCTCTCCGTTCCTCCTTCCAAAACCACGGAAGCAAGGGGTACCTGTACAGGACATAGCCAATTTCGTAGGGGGTTTCAGGGCAAGAAACAGAAACTATTTAACTGCATAAGGGGGTGAAAGGAGAAAAAAAAA